CAAACTTTTAATACCCTCCACCTTAGGGTAAAGGAAACATTATAGCCCATTATGACCCACATATATCAATTTTTAGACATATTCATGGGAAAACGTGCCATAAATCATCAAAATACCGAATATCGGGAAATACGGCTATATGGGGCTATACAAAAACTTGGACCTATACATACCGTGTTTCGCCAAAAGAGCTAGAAACCATTAAGACCAACAAATACCAATTTCTAGACAAATCCGCTAAGAAATGTGGCAAAAACCATTAAAATGCCGAATATCGGGAGGTACCATTATATAGGGGCTATACCAAATCGTGGACCTATACATGCAATGTTTCGCCAAAGGAGCTAGAACCCATTATGACCTACAAATACCAATTTTCAGACAAATCCGTGAAAAAATGTGGCAAAAATTATCAAAAGACCGAATAATTGGAAGTACCTTTATTGCGGCTATTCCAAAACATGGACCGATATACCTCATTTTCAATATCAACCATCACCGCAACAAAAAGAAAAAAGACTCGAAAGAGCAAATGAGTTGATTCGCTTGGCGGAAAATGGTAAATTGCCGAATTTGGTTTTCTCCGATGGGAAAACATTCGTTGTCCAGCAGTTTGTAAACAAACAAAATGATCATGTTTACTTGCAAGGAGGTCAGCTGAAAATGTGCACCTTCGGTTGGCCACCAGAACTCAAGCGCCGGTCATGGTCGCTCTCCGCTCGTATTAATCGGCCTTGGCATCATAATAAATGCCGAATATTATCGCGAAAATATTCTGGAGGGTGCAATAAAGCCTTTGGCACGCAAATATTTTGGCCGCAGACCTTGGACATTCCAGCAGGACTCAGCACACGCCACCCAAGAATGGTCACAAAATGAGGTTCCTCGCTTCATTTCCAGCGCACAATGGCCACCAAAATCTTCGGATACCAATTCGTTGGACTATTGTGTCTGAAATATATTGAAAAGCAAGGTTAGCACTAAAATACCAAAAAAAAAATATCGAAGCGTTGATCACCGCTTGGCCAGGAATGGGCCAAAATACCGCAGAGCAATATTCGGGCAGCGTGTGACGGGTTCATTGGTCGTTTGAAGGCCATAAATTGTGAGAATGGTGACCAATTCGAACAAATTTAAAATTATTCTAAAATTTGATGCTATTTTCGACATTTTTGCTTTCATTCAATAAAATTAAAAAAAGAAAAATTATGGCGTTTGACTTTGTTGCATTTTTTTTTTTTTTTTTATCTCATCCTGTATATACTTTGTTGACTCAAATATGTAGGGTGCAAATATTTAGGGATGTTACAAACGGAATGGTACATTTGTTCTACATTCTGTTATTGTGCCATGATATTCAATATAACTTCGAATAAGGATATTGATGCTTTACTTTTTTTTTTGAAAATTAATTTGTTAAAACTTAAAAAGGACCATCCAAAATTTGTTGAATTTTTGAATATTTCATGAAAAATATAATAAGCGAAATTTAAACCATTATTAAAAGAGATCAAATATTCTAAGTAGAACACCGAATCTAAATTTGACCATTCGGATAAAATCAGAAAAATCTGATTTTTTTATATTCTAGTGTCTTTGATATGAGTTTGTATAATTAGTATAAAAATATTGGCCAATATTAAATGAAATTTGCATTGACTTTAAACTATTTATATTTTTCCAGAAATACAAGAATATACAAATTTCTACTACGATAACCGATTTTCCATTCCTTCCACGCAGGAAAACCTTTGACGCAAAGAGAAAACTATGGCTTGAATTCGACTCCTGTACGACCTTATTAAATTGGGCATGGTTAATTCCTTAGTCTTAGAATTTCGCGTAGACTTTAAGAAGCTATACTTGGATTTTTACGTACGGATGTGTCTACTGCCATAAATTCAGATTTAGGAAGGAAACTAGGGATAATTTTCAATTGAGGGCAGGATAACAGAAAAAGTAGACCGCCGATATTTTCAATTAAAAAACTATAAATTGATTGCCTCACGATGGTCCTCTACGTAACATTCTCTACAGCATTTAAACGTTCATTGTTGGTAGCGTACGTTTATACTAAAAAATACAATTTGTTTGTTATTGCATTTTAATTGTTTTATTGTTAAAAAAGAAACTAAATTACCTTCTCCTTTTCGAATACAATTTATATTTTGATTTTAATTTAATTTTCAAAAATTCGTACCAAAATGTACGACCGAATACAAAACATCGGCACAATCGTCCAACAAAAATCAACCCTGACCAAGTATGGCTGAACATTTTCCAGCGAGTTGACCCGATTTAGTGCCACTTGAACGAATCGGTGACAACGAGTTTGGTGTATCGAGTTCTTCTCAGAGGGCGAAGCCGATGTGAAATTCTCGGCGGCGGCGGCTAAGCATAAAAAAGTCGGCGGCGGCTAAAAGTCGACTGCAGCCGAAAGAAAATCGGCGGCGGCGGCTAAAGCAATATACGGCCGGCGGCGGCTAAAAGTCGGCTACAGACGACGACTTTAACGTGAACAAATAATTTCGGTTGTTTTAATAACTGTCAATTCATTTAATTTAAAATAAAAATGAAATATATAGGTTTATATGCACATTTGTTGCTTATAGCACATTAAAAATTAATAAAAATACTTTAATTTGATAAAAATGGTTCGACGACTGCCTTGTTATCGTGAACAAACAATTGTTTCTTTACTGTTGCCGGATGCAGGCTGCTTCTCTTTGCATTTACACAATTCCCGGCATATGAAAATGCTTGCTCTGAAGATGCTGATGTGGCTGGAATTCCAAAGCACATATTTGCTACAGTAGCAACATTTGGAAAGATCTATAAAAAGTAAATGGTCAAAACGTAACCTGCTTAAAACAAGTTTAAGATGTGAATCTTTAACGTACTTGTTTGTTCTGTCGCCACCAATCTAGAGGCTCGACCGCCTCGACTTTCATTTCCAAATATTTTCTTATTTCTAACTCTACGTTATTTTGTACATTAGAAGGCGATGGTCCCATAAATTCCAACATTCTTTGACGACTAGCTGATATTTTCTGCAAGTAAAATATACGTCAGTTAAGTTTACCTTTACATTTATTAAAACATAATACCTGTTTTTTTGCATTTGGTTCAGTGCTCGTTGATGGCTCATTTAATAATGTGTCATCGATTTCCTTTAATTTTTCAATTTCTTCCATAATCAAGTTCTCCTTGGAAATTGGAGACAGAACATCATGCACAAGTTCCAAGGAGTTTGGCGATTGTTTGGGTATCTGTAGTATATATTTATCTAAAACAGGCCAGTTTTTTTGGCATGGGTCCATAAGCGCAGCTACAACATACATTCTATATACTTTGAATCGCTTCGTGAAGTTTTGCACAGCGAAATTGCATAAATTGATTGTTAGTTCAAAAGACGCTTTTTCTTCTTCTTTCTTCAATGAGGACATAATGGATTCCTGAAAATAAATACACGAAGATATCGTCGGATAATCTTGGCCTTGAAGGTGTTTTGTGGCGTCCTCAAAAATTTTTAAAAACGTGCCAAATTCCGTTATAATTTGCTTTTCCATTGTCCCAATCATTAACAGTTCCTTTTTAGCTTTAACTAATGCTACATTTATAGTGGATATATTATTCGTATAGCTTTGAATCATTGCAAGCAGAGAGTTCCAACGTGTTGCAACGGAATTTTTCAAAGAGGTGTGGTGCTTGACGTTTAAAGTTGCTTCATATTGTTCAGTAAAATAGTCATCTCCATGTGGAAATTGTTCGCAACTGTCCAAACTCTCCAAAATTATTTCAACCTCTGTAAATATTTTTTCTAAATCGTTTTGTTCCTCCATATTTTGAATATTTGATATTTCTTCATAGCTATACATTAAGCTGCCATAAATTTTTTTTAATTTTGATATTATGTTATTAATATTTTCAAATGACTTGTTGTTTAGTATATCTTCCATCAAAAATCTGTGTAAAACATGAGCCATACAACCATATCTTGGTATATTTTTAATTTTTAAAGCTGAAACGATGTTGCTTCCACCATCAGTAACAGCACATATGTTTTTTTCCAACAGATTAAATTCACATAAAGCTTCTTCAATTTTTTCTACAACTGCTAGTCCAGTGTGAGGTCGTGGAAAGATCTCTGTCTTGAGCGTTACAATTTGCATTTGAAAATTTTGGCAGAAATGAACTTTTATGTTTATGTAAGACAAGTGCTTATGTTTATCTGACCACATATCCAATACAAGTGTAACATTTTTGGGCGACTCTTTAAGGCTTGTTTTTACGTGGTCCAAATATATGTTATAAACATCGTTTAAAGCCGTCGTAGCTATTGTCCTATCTGTGGGGAATATAGCCTTTGGGTTTAAGAAAGATACCAATTTCTTAAATCCTGGCCTTTCAACAATTTTAAACGGTTGCAAATCCCAACAGCACATTTCGGCGACCCGGCGAGCATTTTGTTGTTTGTTGTTACAACTTGTTGAGGATTTCAATGCATTTTGTGTCATTGTTGAACTTTTCAGGTTATTTAAAGATTTCACGTCCAAGTTATGTACAGCTCGTAGATGGTTCATATAATTTGTGGTTGATGTTGATTTTCCAAAACTAAAATCATAAACATTTACACACATGCGAATGGAAAAAATTAGAAATTCTTACCTTTTTAAATTGGTCTTTTCATCCAAACACAATTTGCAAAATTTATATTTTTGAAGTATATGCCTCTTTTTAAAATAGAGATCACCAAAATATTTCCAACACATTGATATACCACCTTCATTTACAACAACCTTTGCCAAATTTTTAAATTCATTTTTCTTTTTAAAAAGATCTTCATATTGAGATACATCTGCATATGGAGAAATATTGATTTCAGTATCAACAGATTCGTCAGAATCGGATTCTGATTTAGTCAAAACTGTTTGACCCTTTCGGTTAGCGGAAAAATAATTTTTAATATTCCTTTGGCACATTTTGCATTCTTTTCTTTGAACAAGCAAAAACACAACGAATCTTTGGCAAACAATATGGTTGCCACTCCATCAAAATTCGTAAGTTACAAAAGGTTGCCAAAGGTTTTGTGATAAAAAAACAAATCTACAAAGTCATAATACCCTTACCACTATGTGGTGTAGGGTATAATTAATATAAATAGCCTACACGTTTTTGCCTCTCGAAGACGAGTGCACAATGTAAATTATCGTCCAATAATGAGCATTATAATATGTTAATTTATCGATAAGATTAAAAGACATATTTATACAAATTTGCTGTATAAATTTATATTTTTCAACGGCTTAGCCGACTCAGTCGGCTAAAAATTTGAGCCGATGAGAGCCGCATACATCAGCGGCGGCTCAGATCACTTAAAAAAAGTCGGCGGCGGCTGCACGCCGACTGCGAGCCGATCGGCTTCGTGCTCTGGTTCTTCTTGGTGTGTTATTTTATTCAGCGTCATTTTAATTTTCGGTGTTGAAAGTTGAGAAATTTTTGTAATTTTTTATTAGAGGTAATTTTGCGGCAAAACAATTAACACCAAACGCAAAAACAGTAAACACCTTAGCGCGAAATGAAAACATCGCCGAAATAGAATGAAAAATATCGTTAAAAGCGTTTTACGGTTTCCGTCGGGTCTTCTGCGACAAGAAAATGAAAAAAAGTAATACCACCACAAAATACTCTTCTGATGATGGTACGGAAAAAAGCATAATCTTCTTCCTCCTTGACAACCTTTTTTTTTCCTTTTAGTGCTGGTTAGTTCGGTTCTATATCGAAAGTGTCAAAAGTGCTCGATTAATATTTGTAACGTGAAATAAGAAAAGTGTTGAATGTAAAAAAGCGTGCTAATGAAAAAAAAAAAATGAGATTCTATGTAGCAAAAAATTATGTGTGCAAATAAAGAAAAATTTCATAAAATCTTGTCTCTTTTTGGCCTGTTTGGCTGAATTTCGATTTTTTTGTGATGGACGTCGTCTTTTTTCTTCGTCCGTTGTCGTAGTCGTCGTAATTTTCTCTTGTTAGTGGCTGGCTGAAAAAAGTATTTTCTGTTTCTCGCTGGTCTGCCTGGTTGGTTAGTGGTTCATTCGTTTGATGCTCAATGCTCACAGGCTAGATGGCGAGTAGTGTGGAACGTTTTTGTGTGTGTGTGAGTGCGACTGACAACTGCTGCAAGTGTATGTTTTCTCCTCTATACAGCGGTTTGGTTGTGTGTTTTTCGTTCTTTTGTCGTCTACGGCTATGGTTATGCCCAAGTGCGAAAGAGACGGCTACAACAATAATAACATGTCGACTTTTGGTAGAGATGACAAAACAACACAAACGTTTAACAAATGAGTAGTCTACTGTGGGATTTTTTCAATTTTTTATCGAATAAAAGTGCTAATGAAATTAAATTTTTACCAAAAATAAGATTTGGAAAAGCATTTGTGTGACTTTGAAGTGGATTTCTTTGATGCAGCAGCCAAACCCCCCATTTCTTATTTGGCACAAAAAAAGCGCTGTACTCGTTCGTTTCTTGTGCTCCCACTCGTTCGATTTCATTGTTGTGTGAGAAAGCCGATTACACCCGAAGTATGTTTTTCTACACTTGCTTTCATGCGACCGGTGTTGCCAATGTGTTAGTTTTTCACGCCCTTTTCTCGTTTGTTCCACCAAAAAGGGGATAAATTTCGTACCATTGTTTCAATTTATTTTTTGTAAATATTATCAGCTGTAGCAGTAGTAGACAATATGCTATTCATAACATATGACATCAAAAAACAACAAGATGTTCAAAATTATAAATATAAAATTGGAATTTAAAAGAATATTTGCAAATTTGCCGAAATATATTTAAATTGCAATTTAATTGACAAAATAGGAATTTATATTAGGGAAGTTTTCTTGTGACAGTTCTTTGTGTGTTGGAGAGGGAGAGAGATAGGAAGGGAAATGGAAAAAATGCTCGTACCGGCAATTCTTGCTATATTTGTATACAAAAATATTATTGAAATAACATCAAATGCAATGATTCAAAACAAAAATTGCTGAAAAATAATTGACTTGTAATAGGTAAGTTCACAAGAGAACGAAAAAAACGCCTTGTCTAAATCGGGACTAAGCTATATGTACGCTATCAGGTATTTTCAACTCTTCGTTGATAGCGAATTGCCAGCTTTTTTGTGAAGTTTTTTTTATAAAAGGAAAACATTTCTAATTAATTTTTCCTACAAGCCTAAAATTCACTAAAATAGTAATTTTTATCATATAGTCGAAATAGCATTTTCTATTGATAATTAAATTTTTTATTTAAGAAGAAAATGATAAATACGTTGGATTTATTACCCTATTCAGAGCAGGTCCATAAAACATATACCAAATAGTTTGTTGGAGAAGGTCAAGACAAAACGAGTTAAGTATTAATTAAAACGTTCAAATCAAAAAACTCGTATTTATATAAAATTTGAAAAAAAAAAATGATCAAAAAATGTAAAAGGATTATATATTTGTTGATTAGTTGCCACCATGGTAATCAAGGCCAATATAAGGTAGGACGAGAAGACTACTCTGGCAACAATTTGACAATAAACTTAGTAGTTTTTGCACTATTATGATTTGATTCTCGTTGAATTGTAAATCACAATTATGCCTTTTGACAGGAAACTTAGTTGTCAAAGAGGTCAAATTAAATCGAGTTAACTTCTTTGAATTTCTGTAATTTAACTTTTCAAAATTTAATTTTCCTTCTCTGATTTTTTGTTTATGAATATACCTTTTGAAAAAAAAAATTCAATTATTACTTAATTTGTCCCTGCTGACAATTTTCTTAACTAGGAAATACAAAATTTTATCAAAAATAGATTTTTTCCTTACAAAAAAAAACGTATGACGACTATTGGAACATATCGCAGCGACAATAAGAAAATTAAAAGCGGGTATGATAAGGAATGGATTCCAAAAAATGCCCCCTTTAAAATATTTATTCTTGAGTTAAACAAGGCCATGTTTCGATCTATCAATTTGACAGCAGAAAAGCCAAACCGGTTCCCATCCGATATTTTTGTGAACCAAATCACTGTTTAAAAAAGCTATTGAGAAACGTTGAAATCTCATTGGAGGCTAGGCAAAGCGATTAATTTAATGAATTTTTATAATTGGTTTATGTCTGTGGAATTGGGTACGTAAGTATTTATGGAACAACTCTAGTAAAAAAAAAGTAAAAGAATTTCTTTTTCCAGAGGTAGACATTTTTACCCTGATTCCGGGAAACTATTTTTTTTTGGGAACGTACCCAGATGAGAATATCTCTGGATTCACAAAAGGTATTAGCACAAATTGAAGGATTTTGGAAATGTGAGAGTGTCAGCAATAATTTAACATCAATTTGATGTCGGCGTCTTGATCCCGGACTTTCGGGTCAAAAGTCTGGGGTTCCGAGTCCGTCTCCCAAGAAAAAATAATTTCGCGGGATCAGCGTTAAAATAACTACCACCGAAAATTTTTCGAAAAAAACTGAATAGTTTTTACTAAACTAGAGTTAAGCCCCGAACCATTGTGAACCATTAAACCGAACCAAACCAAATCGACAATTTAAGTGAAGAGTGAAGACTTTAGATTCTAAAGTCGATTTAAATACCATTAATTGGTGGAAAAAAGAAGAGATAGGAAGTAGATTAAAATGTTTTCTGATATTTACATTCTATTATAAAAACCCGTTCTATTTGTGGATTCGGAATTGGATACAGCACCAGTACCTGCAAGAATCGACTAGTTTTGCAATTTTTTTCGATGTCATAAAGGGAAAATCGATTATCGATGATAAAACTTTCACATTCTTGCAGTTCTGGGGCAGACCAATAGTAAATCGACTTATGCCAAAAACGAAATGAATCCCATCACATATTGTTGATATTTTCATTTTTTGATGAGAACCAATTTTCGGTTTATTGTATAGAAAAAAATACAAATATTGTAGATTCTTGCAGGTTCGGAAACAGAGCACTATAGGAAGCTGGTGCTGATTACAGACAAAAATCACTTGTCTGTTCCAAAACTGCAATATTCTTAAAGATTTTATTACCATAAACAATTTTTCCTTTACGATATCAAAAAAAAAAAAATTGCAAATTTCACCATTTAAAAAAAATAATTAAAAGATAGTAACTTTTTTGTGAAAGTATACAAGATTTCAAATTAGAGTAACTTGAACTTAATGTAATAGCAAATTAGCATTCAAAACTGAAATTTCGAAAACTTACATATTTTTCCTTTGGGATCAACATTGAACATGGCAATCAACGTTGCATTTATCCGCCATTGAAAACTTAAAATATAATTACAATAACAAGTGTTGGCAATTGTCAAAACGCTAGAAGTTAAAAGTGACACCTACTAACATTAATAATATTGGACACCTGTGGGTATTTGCATTGCATTTAAACGCAATCACGATTGCATATATTTTTAATTTTGATATTAAATTAACTTCAAAATAAAGTACAAATAAGATTTCATGTATATGTTACATTAATGTTTAACATTGTTGTGGAATTCTTACAGCTTAATCTAATATTTTTAATTTTTTTCTATTTGCGATTCAACGTCGACTTTACCAATAATTTATTTCTATTTCGTTTGTTTAACAAAACATTATTTTTTCCACATTTTTTTAGAATGAAAATTTTTAAATCGGCAGCTAATTTTTCGTCGTTTTGCAATTTGCTCATTTAGTTTTGATGGATTTCCTTCACCTTTTTTGTTTACATTCCTAATGGAAACTTGGTTACGAAAAATTATCCCCCTTTTCTTTCGCATGGTACGTAACTCGTCGCATGCCGAAACCGTACACAAAACGTACATGTTATGTTACACGAAAACAATTTGGCAACACTGGCCGCCTCTGAATGCGACTATACATCGGCTTCAGTCTTCTTCCTAGTTCTGTTGCTGTTCGTTTGCAAAATCAGTTGACTTTTTCGCTACTGCAACATAAACGGACAAAATTTTGTGTTTTTGATTGTTGCAAAAAGTTTAAAAAACTAATTAAAAATCAACAAAAAATCCTAAAAATATTTGGTAAAAAATTGAAATTCAAGAAAAATTCAGAGAAAAAATAGAAATTAACAGTTTCCCAAAAAGTGAACATGAACAAAAAATATTTGTGCGGTACATTTTCAATTCGATAATTTTGTATTTTTGTGCAATTTTTTCTGTAATTTCGGTTTTTGGCAGAAAAATTTTATGAATTTTTTTAAGTCTGAAATTGGAATAAAACAAAATTTTTTCTCTGATATGTGCATTAGAAATTTTAAGATTCAACAACGACGACGTGAAAGAAAAACGAACAACCAAAAAATTTTTACAGTCGCAAGTCTGTTTTTCTTTCTTTTTCCAATACTGCTCGCACTCATAGAGTTTAAATGGTGGTATTAAAAAATATAAGGCATGATGAGATGTGTGTTGTATAGTGTAGATGTGAGAATGTATGTGAGTGTGTGCGGTGAAACAAAACGAGCACGGGCGAGTAGTAAAAATATGAGAGTGGCTAGCAAATTGGCTTAAAGAAAAACGTTCGTACACGGGAGAGAATATTTCGTGTATAGCGAGTAGTGAATGATGGCAACGAGTAACGAATGGTGGTGGTGTAGTGTAGAAAAGAAATGAGATTTGTTTTCATCGTCAATCTTTATACCTATCAACTGCTGCTGCAACACCATAAGCAAAATCGAGCGAGCGGTTACAGAGTTGTCTATCGGTAACAGCTCTAGCTAACCACCAGTCAGTCAGACAGGCAATCAACCAGCTATCCATCCATCTAGCTATAGCTAGCTAGCTCTTTTTTTTGTTTGCATTTAACAAAAATATTTTGTATTTTCTCCAAACGCACACAGGCACGCCAATGCACACTGTATTTTGACCATTGCTCGTTTGTTCATGTTCATGTTGCTACTCTTGTTTCTTGGACAAAATTATTTGTGTCTATATTTTTGTTCGTTGGCATGTGTGTGAGTGTTTGGTGGTGTTCGGAACGAAGTAACAAAAACAAGATAGAAAAAAGCGCGCAACACTTTTCTTCTTTCACTTTACACAAAAATAAAATAGCAGACATCTGACGACGACGACTTACTGGCTATTGGAATTAATGAAATCAACAATGTTGTTTTGTTTTCAGATTTGTGCAATTCTCTCTTGAAACAAGTATGAAGTTAAGCAACGACGTTCTTCTATTAAACAAAGACAACGACAAGTATTAAACAACAAGAATTAATGTGGAAAAGGCGTAAAAAGTTATTTAAAAAAATTAAAGAAAACTGTCCTGGCTCCTAGTAGCTGTTAATGAATGACTGGAGAAAAAAATATTGAAAAGAAAAAAAGTGAAAACAATGTGGTTTGAAAGTCAATATGAAAAATCCGGAAGAATAAGACCTAGATATGATGTGCTAAGTGCTAAATGGGTGAAGGAGTCGGCGGAGGCAATTTGCAGCTAAAGCCACTATCCCATATCACCTACCCACAGTGCAACGCAGACGGCCAACAACAGCGATCGTCAGCAAAAAGTTAAAAAAAAAAAATAAATTAAGAAAAGCATGAAATTTCTACGCTAAGCAAAGCAAGTTGAGATTCTTGAGGCCAAAGTGCTCAAAGATCTAAAAAGTACATTCTTTAAAAAAATTACAGAGTGAGTTTTGAAACAAAATGCACTCAAGCGTGTTTTCTAGTAAAATCACATGTGAAAAATCGTTGGATAAAAAAGAAGTTAATTTTATTATAACCAAATCAGCAACAACAATCCGTAAAAGAAAACAGCAGCAGCAGCAACAAAGAGACATATTGTTTTTTAAACAACGACGTCGACGTTTGCAACCTTGGCTATATCAATTCCTGCTACCAGTGACGGCAAAGTTCTCAACAACAAAACTAACGGCAGCAGAATTTTAAACAATCAACTCCTAGTTTGCAAAAATTAAAAAAGAAAATCCTAAACCATTGCCGTCAACAAAATACAAGAAAGTTCCTCGTTCTTATTTCTTGCAATTGTTTTTATTGTCCAAACATTAAAAAGCTGCCTTAACGTCAGACACGTCGAATTGCAATCAATACATCCATTACAATCTTTTGGTCAAAAGTGCTTATTCCCATTTTTTCTAAAAAAATAAGCAAAAGGACTTCTTAACGAGAAGTGTATAAACAGTAAAATAAACTTTAAAATACCGAAAAAAAAAACAAACTTTTGCTACAACCAAACGCGAGTGTCCAAACAAAACAATTGCAAGTAACAATTTTGTTCTCATTACACAAAGCCAAAATAAGAAAACAACAGACATTTTATGAATGATGGCCGATCACATGGAAGAGCCTCCGCAAAAGCGGATGAAAGTTGATGACCTATACATGTTGGAAGAGAACCTGCCCGATGAACTAGTCTCTACATGGGGTGATCAGTTGGGCGGTGGTGGTCCGGGCTCCGGGTCAGTGTCAGGTGGTGGCCCACCAAATCATGGCATGGCTGTAAATGTTGGCGGTGTCGGTGGCCCAAATAAACCTCCAGCTCAGGGACCCGGACCAGGTGGTGCTGGTGGTCCCCAATTAAATGGCTCAGTTGATGACGTTAATTCAGCGGGTGGTGGTCCAGGCGGTAATCCCTTGCGGCAAATGCAACATCATCAACATTTGCAGCATTTGCTCCAGCAACAGGTTTGTCATGTTTTCCATTTATTGAAGCCTGAAAAGTGGCTTAGTTTTGATTATCGCCTGTATAACTATATTTCCCAACACATTTATTTTAGGGTAACAAAAATCCTGGCATGGTTGGCAATACAATGGGAGCAGCTGTCATGAACCAATTGGGCAGTAAGTCACCTAATTTACAATCTCCAAATGCCGGTGGCATGCAAATGTGTGCCATTGTTAACTCGATGCCAATGTCCATTTCGAATAATGGCACGCAAATGAATTCCATGTCAGGTAAGGAGCAAAATCACTTGCATAATCTACTTTATTACATTTGGAGTTCTTAACACAACTTTGTAATTTAACAGCATATACGTTAACATATATAATTAGAATCAGTAAATATTATTATTTGTGAGAAGACAAGAAAGAAAAATGTCATCTTTAAAATATCCATGTCAAACCGCTATTTCAAAAACTCCAGTAGTAGAACAGATTGTGCCATAAAAAGTAATCATATCGCACCCAAATATTTGTATATCAACATAAATTGTAAATTGATCGCTTGAAATTTAAGACCTGTAGTTGGATTCTCTAACTCTAGGTAACTTTCAAAGAAAGAATTTTTATCTAAACCGAAACCACAAAGTACCGAATTAGTCAAGACAAAACTGTTAAATTTTCATCCCTGTTATAGAAATTTCAATTATATTTAAGACCGCGATTAAAAGTTAAGAAATATCAAGATGCTAAGTTTTATGTAAAGGAAAAATGTTTTATTTAAAAATAGTATAATTAAAAGAAATTACCATGTTCAATTTTAAATATGACTGTCAATTAAGTATTCTACGTACGTAATAATACACTTGCAGATTCTTTATTTTATAAAGACGTGTACAAAATCAAAGAAATTGCAAGTTGCTTATAAAACATAGGGCTAATATTGAAAACAAAACTTTAAAATTACGAAGAACTTTACCTATTGTTTTAATGTCAACCAACTTAATTTCCGTCCTTTAGGTATGAATACCATTGCTCAGGGAAATATGGGTAATATGGTGCTAACGAATAGTGGAATGGGCGGCATGGGTGTCGGTGGTGCTGGAATGATCAAACAACAGATCGGCGCAGGACCTGGAGGCATGATGAATGCCGGTCCCGGTGGCGTAGGTCCTGTGGGCCCTGGAAATATGGGTCCGGCTGTTGGAGGTCCTCAACAGGGAATGCACATGGGTGGTCCTGGTGGACATCCCCAGGTAATGCAAAATGGACCAATGATGCGTATGGTGGGTCAACACATGTTGCGTGGTCAAAATCCACATTTAATGGGTGGCAATGGTCCCGGTGGTATTGGTGGCGGCCCACGCATGCAGAATCCTAATATGCAAATGGGTAAGTTTATAAAATCATTGCTATTTTCTATTGTAAATTTAGAAGCAACGACCAAAAAAGCTTCCATTTGGACAAATTTATGTTTTCCAATTCGCCAAAAATGCATTGTCTTCATTATTTGTTTATTTTGTATAGGCCAAATGAACAACATGGTTGGTGGCGGTGTTGGACCGAACGGACCCTATGGCGGTGGGGTCGGTGTCGGCAACGTGGGCAACTATGGAGGCCCTGGCGGTCCTCAAGGTGGTATAAATGTCAATGCTAACAACCCGCAGCAGCAAATGTTGGCTCAGCAAATTGCTGCACAACATGGTGGTGTACCACCGAATATGACGGCGGCTATGCAACAGGGACAACGAGGACCTGGCGGTGTTCCACTTGGTATGGGTGGTGCCGGTGTAGGTGGTGGTGACGGCAATGGTGCTGGTTTGGTCGGTGGACCACAGCAACAACAGATGAATAATGCTCAAATGAATCCCAATCAACAGCAAAACCCACAGGGCGGTTTAATGGGTGGCATACGACCACCACAAACCGGTCCCGGTGGCCCTCAGCAAAATTCCATGATGTTGTCACAACAACAACAGCAGCAGCAACAACAACAGCAGCCTGGAACATCCCAACAGGGCGGTAATGCAGGAGGCGGTGGTAATGCAGGTGCTGGCAGCGGTGCCGGTGGTGGTGGCACCGGTAATCAACCCATCACTGAAGAGCGAAAAAAACAAATTCAACAACAACTTATGCTGTTATTGCATGCGCACAAGTGTAATCGGCGCGAAAGTCTCAATCCCAATCGCGAAAAATGTAATGTCCCATACTGTAAACCCATGCAGGACGTTCTTACACACATGGCCAACTGTAAGCAGAGTCGCGATTGTACTGTGCAGCATTGCATATCCTCGAGACAAATTTTGATGCATTACAAGCAATGCCAACGTACCGACTGTATTATTTGCTTTCCATTCCGTCAAAATCACGCTTTCCAAAACAACAATCCCAATGCGGCGGGAGGCAATGCTGGTGGCGGAGGAGGTAGTAATGCAAATCAGCAAGTGGGACAACCAAATGCAAATGATAAACAAGTTCCAGGAGGAGTTGGTGGGCCACAACAAGTCGGTGGTCCGCAACAGTCCGGTGGTGTTGGAGGAGTACAACCTGGTGGAGGAGGTGTGGCTCCAAATGTAACGGCAGGTGCTGGCGGTATGCCCGTTGGAGCAGGTGTTGTCGGTCAAGGTCAAATGAATATGAAACCAAATGCTGGCGATATGCAACAGCAAATGCAAAATGCCCCTCAAAATCCGAATCAAGAGATAAGAAGATTCGATAGTATGGGCATGCAGGGAGCCGTAGGTAATGCTGGAGGTCCAAATAATATGATGCAGGGCAATGCCGTTAATGTCCAACAACAGCAAATGCAGGGCATTCGAATGACAGGAGTACCCCCAACGGCGCGTGTCATGTCTACAGCGGTTGGAGGACCTGGTGGTGGCGGAGTTGCTGCAGGACCTTCATCAGGCGGAAACAATGATCAAGCCGGCATGCGCCAAGTTGTAAATAATCTCTTGATTAGTGGGGGTGGTAATGGTCCTGGCACCGACGGTGGTATACAAAATCAACAACAACAAATGCTACTCCAAGGAGGGCCAGGAGGACCAAATAAATTTCAAATGTCAGCACCACCCACACCTCGCCTTTCTGATCTGCTGAAACCCGGTCTTAAAGTGACGACAGATCCCACCCAAGTTCAATCGAATGCACTTAACCAGCAGCAACAACAACAACAGCAACAATCGAACATTCCCCTGTCGGTCAATGTACACAACAATTTCAATAATTCCAATATAAACAACCTCCTCGGTGGTGGCGGTGGAGGAAATGGCGGCGATATGATGGGTGCTGGCGGTCCAGTTGGTGGAGCACCACCTAACAAGCAATTAACACCACAAGAATTGGCTAAGATGAAAATGCAAGCCCAGGCTAGTGGCGGTGCCGGTGGCTTAGTGGGCGGTCCCAACAACACTGCTTCCAACAACAATGGAACAGGAAATCAAAATGCAACCGGCGGTCCTGGTATGCAAGGAGGTGTTGTGGCCAGCGTTTCGGGAGGAGCTAATAATGCTGGTGCCGGCGGAGCTCCAACTACATCGCAGAATACTGGTGGTGTAGCTGGAGGTGGAACTGGTGGAACAGGCAGTACTTCCGGCGGCGGTGGTGGTGATGAAAACAAAGATTGGCGAGAAATTATTACAGATGACCTTCGCAAGCATTTAGTGCACAAATTAGTACAATCCATCTTTCCCACATTCGACCCAGCCACCATTTTAGACAAACGCCTGCATTATCTCGTTTCTTATGCTGAAAAAGTCGAACGGGATATGTATGAAATGGCCAAATGTCGTTCAGAGTACTACCACCTACTAGCTGAGAAGATTTACAAAATCCAAAAAGAGCTGGAGGAAAAACGTATCAAGAAAAAAGAGCAACAACTACTCCAAATGCAGCAGCAGCAGCAACAGCAACAAGGCGTTGGTGCTGGTGGAGTAGGCGCTGGACCCAGTAATGCAGCAGGTGGTGGTGTCAATGTTGGCAGCGTTGGTTCTGGCCCTAGTTCTGCAAGTGGATTACCTGGTCAGCAAATACCTCCCGGTCATCCAGGACAACAGCAAATAAGGCCAATGGTTAGTCCCATGGGAGGAGGAGGTGTCGGTCCTGGTGGACCTGTTGGTCCAAATCAGGGTGGTGGTATGCCAATGGGTGGCGGAAGTATGATGCAACTTCGTGGTCAAGCTCCCGGTAACGTTGGAGGCGGTGGTCTAATGCCCGGTCAAAATATGGGTGGAATGCGTAGTCATTCACCTGGGGGTAATATGTTGGCAATGCAACAACAGCAGCAACAACAGCAACGCATGCAATTCCCGCAACAAGGTAACATGCTAGTTGGACCACCCGGTCCCAGTCCCGGTGGCAACAGTATGGGTGGTGGCATATCGGCATCACAGCAAAGTATGGTTGTTCCGAATCCTGTACTTTCGCCATTCACAGGACAAGCGATGCAGGGGCAGCCTGGCACTGGAGGTGTAGCTGGTGTTTTGACCAGTCCAATACCAGGTCAGCAGCAGCAATTTATCAACGCTAATGGTGGAACTGGTGCTTTCACCGCACAACAATTGATTGATAATTTAAAACGGGAACGTATGATGCAACAGCAGCTGCAGCAACAACAACAGCAGAGTGGAATGCTAATGCCACAGTCGCCTTTCAACAACAGCAACAACAACAACGCTGGCAATACACAAATGTCGCAGCAGTCAAATGCATTCACATCTCCTATGTCCCAGCAGCAGCAGCAACAAAAGCCGAACATGATGGCCAATGCTGGAGGCGGAAACATGGGAAATATGCCTCCCACGCCCACAAGCATGGAATCACTTTCAGCAGTAATAGGTGGTGGCACAAGTGCATCAGGACCAACCAGCGTAACTAGTACTGCCTCTGCGGGAACTGTAGGTGCCGCTGGCGGCATGGTCGCAGCACCAAGTCCCTCGCCAAGTTTCACAACAAATGGTCCCATCGGTACCCCGATCAACAATAATCCACCATCGGTTCCATCATCTTTGATGCAAACTATTGGTGGCGATCGTGGAAATACCCCACCACCAGCAACATCAGTAAATCCCTCATCTCCCGCCTCAGCAAATGCAACACCTGCAGCTACAACAGCATCAAGCACAGGTACGGTGGGTCTACAGCCCTCCTCTACACCCTCTAACACTACTCCAACATCATCAGCGCCAGCAACAGTGGCATCTTCGTCATCTTCGGCGACAATCACCACAACAACAACTACGGCTACATTGTCCTCATCTAGTACTACCTCGGCATCAGCAACCACGTCAGTGGTGTCGACTTCGGCGGGCACTTGTCCCACAGCAATAACCAGTTCTATGTCCAGTTCATCAAGCACGACAACAACGGCTGTAACAGAAACCAGTGTCGCTAGCAATGGCCTTGCTCAAAATCAACAACAAACTACATCAATGGGTAAGGGAAATACTGGCGGCACATCCACGACAACAACAACTACCTCAGCCATAAGCTCAGCACTACCATCAACCAGACCCGTCAGTAGCAGCAATAGTTTATCCTCCCAAATGGCAGCCCTAGAAGCAGCAGCCCGCGACAACGATGACGATCCACCTAACTCTCCCAACAGCGACTCACAAAATGCGGGCAAGTCGTGTAAAGGTAAATTGGATTCCATAAAGCAGGAAGACGACCTTAAAAAGGAGTTTATGGACGACGGCAGTGCCGGAGAAAATTCTCAGCAAGAATCTTCAGCCGGTGTGGGTAAAAATGTTAACAACGATGGCACGGCCAAGGTGGAAGTCAAAACTGAAGATTGTGATGTAAAAATAAAATTGGAACCAATGGAAGTAGATGACGCTGCAGGAGCTGGTAGTGGTGCTAATTCAACGTACACAACTAGCGGTGAAGCTGCCAAGGCCGTGGGTACAGGCGACAGTAAAGATGGTGTAAAACCCATGACTGATGGCAACTTAGCAGCAGGGAGTGATGTTAAGGTTAAAAGTGAAACTAAACCTGTAGCGCCAGAACCTCTGATGCCAAATGCCGGCGATAAGAAAAAGAAATGTGGTAAGTATAACATCAAATAATCAATTGTTTGTGAGACACAGATTGCACAAGCTAATTCTTTGTTTTATGTTCATTTCCAGTATTTGATCCAGAAGAACTTAAACAAGCCTTGTTGCCGACATTAGAAAAACTTTTGCGTCATGAGCCAGAATCTGTGCCATTCCGCAATCCCGTTGATCCTCAGGCTTTGGGTATACCCGACTATTTTGAAATTATCAAAAAACCAATGGATCTGGGAAGCATTCGAAACAACTTGATGAATGGCAAATATAATGACCCTTGGGAGTATGTGGACGATGTTTGGCTCATGTTTGACAATGCATGGCTTTACAATCGCAAATCCTCTAAAGTTTACAAATATTGTACAAAGGTAAGTTTTCAGTAGTAAATAGCAGATTTTCTTCATAATATACACAAGAAATAAAAAAATTGGAATATTCTTAAAACAAATTGTTTTTTTTTTAATTTCTTTTTTAGCTTTCCGAAGTTTTTGAACAAGAAATAGATCCTGTTATGCAGACACTCGGTTATTGTTGTGGCCGAAAATACACATTCAATCCACAGGTTCTGTGCTGTTATGGTAAACAATTGTGTACCATACCTAGAGATGCCAAATACTATAGTTATCAAAATAGGTATGTAATATAAAACACTTGTTGATACTACCTGTACAATTGTATCGTTATTATGTATTCGTCTGTGTCCTAGGCAGTTAGCTTAAATATCACAATACATACATCCTATTGAAACAGAACAAAAATAGACATCAACTACATAGATATATACTTTCAATAGATAATTTGTAGAACAAAATAAAAATTATGCTCTAGAATTCATTGGTAGACTTTATATTTTGCGTAGAAATAACCACAATTTATTAACACAACAGTTGTTAAGTCAATTTCTTTAATCTGAATAATTAGAGCTTGTAAATACAACTCAGACAAAACTACGACTAATCGAAACTAATTATTTCAACCATAAATTAATATGTTTGTATCGATTCTAATGCCAACCTTTTTTATTTTTCTTTTCTATACTTGCAAATGTTAAAACAAACCTTAAAAAACATCCTGGTTATGGTTTTTGTGTGCGTCTTTTTTGAAATCCAATAATCTACAACATCCGACTACCACCCACCTATCCCCCAACACCATTTATTTATAATAAATGTACCTAACAACCTACTTTGTTTTCTTGACGATGATGATTAAATTTACCAAAAAAAAAAAATAAAATCTTGTATTTCTATTTAACACCAACAACAATCATTGCCATATGCAACCTTCAAATGTTTTGAATATTATATTCAATTATTTATTCTGTTTTCCTATACGCTTTTCCTGTTGGTATACAAAAATTTGAACATTTTGTTGCTTATTTAATATATCCATAACAACAAACTATGTTCCACAATTTGTTGTTGCTTTTTATCCCATGTAATAATGCCGATCATTCCTTTCCATTGTCCTCAAATACCTTCCAACCTTCTTCCATATATATATATACGTGTTGTATATGAATATCAAAATTGTTCGCACGCACAAAAACATACAAATTATCATCATTCACCATCCAAAACAAAATCTGCTGCTATAAACAAATATACGATCGCTCTGCTTGTTTGTATTAATTAACTTTGGATTGTTGCGCGTTCCAATATCCTTCACCACCAACCAACCAACCAATCAATCACAAACTATATATCTCAAACAAATATAAAATTATATCGAAATCTCATAATGAACCAATAATAGTCTAAAGGATTATGGTGTTGCCTCAAACAGATACACTTTCTGCCAGAAATGTTTCAATGACATCCAGGGAGATACCGTTACACTGGGAGATGATCCACTGCAGTCACAAACGTAAGTATCGTTACCGACACAAACGTAAGAGGAATTTTGAAGTTCAGTATTTTAACCAAACTTAATTCAATATTGTAGGCAAATTAAAAAGGATCAATTCAAAGAAATGAAAAATGATCATCTCGAACTTGAACCATTTGTCGATTGCCAAGAATGTGGCCGAAAACAGCACCAAATTTGTGTTCTATGGTTAGACTCAATATGGCCTGGCGGTTTTGTTTGCAATCGCTGCCTGGAAAAGAAGGATTCCAAAAGAAAAGAGAATAAATTCAATGCTAAACGTTTACCCACGACCAAATTGGGTATTTACATTGAGACACGCGTCAATAACTTCCTAAAGAAAAAGGAAGCCGGTGCTGGTGAGGTACACATACGTGTTGTCTCTTCATCGGACAAATGTGTTGAGGTGAAGCCAGGCATGCGTAGACGCTTTGTGGAAAATGGCGATATGAGTGCCGAATTTCCATACAGAGCAAAGGCATTGTTTGCTTTTGAGGAAGTCGACGGTATTGATGTTTGTTTCTTCGGCATGCACGTTCAAGAGTATGGTTCTGAATGTCCACCACCGAATACCAGACGTGTATATATTGCGTATTTGGATTCGGTGCATTTCTTTAGGCCACGCCAATATCGTACCGCAGTGTATCATGAAATTTTACTTGGTTATATGGACTATGTTAAACAATTGGGCTATACCATGGCCCACATTTGGGCTTGTCCTCCATCGGAAGGTGACGATTACATATTCCACTGCCATCCTACAGATCAAAGAATACCTAAACCGAAACGTCTGCAAGAGTGGTATAAGAAAATGTTAGATAAGGGCATGATTGAACGTACTATCCAGGACTATAAGGATATCATGAAGCAAGCCGTTGAAGATAAACTTTCATCGGCAGCTGAACTACCTTACTTCGAAGGTGATTTCTGGCCAAATGTTTTGGAAGAAAGTATAAAAGAACTCGATCAGGAAGAAGAGGAGAAACGCAAGCAGGCTGAAGCCGCAGAAGCAGCGGCTGCTGCTGCCGCTAATGTAAGTGATCCGATGCGAGTTGTAAGTAGCAACGCAATTTATGTTTGTTTATTGAAAATTTCCTTTCTAATAGATTTTCTCAATTGAGGACAATGATGTGAGTGGTGATGGCAAAAAGAAGGGACAGAAAAAGGCCAAAAAATCAAACAAGTCAAAGGCTGCTCAACGAAAAAATAATAAAAATCGAATGAGCAACAAGCGGGCAATGATCTCTCGACAAAAATTTATGCCACCATGGAGAAGCACAAAGAAGTATTCTTCGTCATTAGACTGCATTCGGCCCAATCTGCAGCCAGTTTGGCGGTAAGTGCGGAGCTTAATTTTAAAATATTGTAGAAATATTAATATACAATGCTATTGATTTACATTTACAGCCCATACAGGATCCCGATCCGTTGTTACAATGCGATCTGATGGATGGCCGTGATGCATTCCTCACCTTGGCTCGTGACAAACACTATGAATTCTCATCGTTGCGCAGAGCACAATTTTCCACATTATGTATGTTGTACGAGTTACATAATCAAGGACAAGATAAATTCGTGTATACATGCAACAATTGCAAGACGGCTGTTGAAACACGTTTCCACTGTACAGTGTGTGATGTAAGTTACAAAATTATATTTTAGTGATTTTTTGATACTCATGTTCAAGTAATTGTCTTGCTTTTTTCAGGACTTTGATTTGTGTACACTATGTTATGAGAAGATTGGCCATCCCCATAAAATGGAAAAACTTGGTTTCGATCTGGACGATGGTTCTTCTCCAGCCGATTTGAAGCAAGCCAATCCTCAGGAGGCACGCAAACAGTCCATACAGCGTTGCATACAATCATTGGTTCACGCTTGTCAGTGTCGCGATGCAAATTGTCGCCTGCCCTCATGCCAGAAGATGAAGCGTGTGGTTCAACACACAAAGAATTGCAAGCGGAAAACCAATGGTGGTTGTCCCATTTGCAAGCAGCTTATTGCATTATGCTGCTACCATGCCAAACATTGCCAAGAGCAAAAATGTCCAGTGCCTTTCTGTCCAAATATCAAACACAAACTCAAGCAACAACAACTGCAACAAAAGTATGTATTTGTCGTGTGTTTGTGAGGTTATGTGTGTAAACATGATCTAACTGTTTTATTTGTTTGTGTCATATTTAGATTGCAACAACAACAATTGTTACGGCGACGTGTTGCTCTCATGTCGCGCACAGTTACAGCTCCAGCTGCCTTGCCAGGACCAGCAGCAGTTTCCAATCCTGTGGTTGTTCCAAGTGGTGTGCCAGTTCCCAATGTAGCTATGGTGACACCTATGGTCATTGGTGGTCAGCCAGCCATAATGCCAGCTGGTGCAGCGGGAGCAATGAGTCCATCCACAGTACCAGTGCCCTCACCGGTGGCTGCTCCGATTGGTGGTGGCATGACATCCCCACATGCGCATCAGCCAGGCATGGGAATGAAACCAGGTGGTGGCCATTCTCCCTCACCAAATGTCTTGCAAGTTGTTAAACAGGTATGTACATTAAAATAAATAAATGTGTAAATGTGTTTAGACCTCCGATTGCAGGTACAGGAAGAAGCTGCCCGACAACAAGTTCCCCACGGTGGTGGCTTTGGCAAAGGCGGAGCTATGGCACCTCCTGTTATGCAACGTCATCACATGGGCGGTCTACCCAACCAACCGAATCCTGGTATGGTAGGTAATGTCGGGAATGTACCTGTGGGTACTGTTGGACCCATGGGTCCTGGTGGCAACAATGTTATGGGTAACAATTTATTACCCATGGATCAGTGGGGCAATCGTTATCCCAACAACAATGTTAATCAAGGCATGCGTCAACCCAATCAAAACCAGGTTATGCAACCTAATGCAATGCAACAACAAGTAAGGCAGTTTGAAAATTTGTACAAAAAGTAAAAACTCTCTGAAATACCAATTAACAATTTTAATTTCAGGGAATGATGGGTGGCATGGTTAGTGCTGCAGGTTCTCAACAAATTCCCGGTAGTTCCGGCAATATGCCTGGTAATGCCCAAGGTATCGGTGGCATCGGCGGCAATACAACCGGCATGGTAGGTATGGGCGGTGCTGGCCCAATGGGTGGAGGTCCTGGTGCAGGAATACGTCCCCAAGGGCAGCATCCAAATGCTGGTGGAGTTGGAGGCACAGGTCAAATGCCAAATGGCCCCCGTAATAAGCAATTGAATACTCAGCAGCTAGATCAAGTCATGGAAAAAATTAAAACCGATCCAACCAATGAAGGTCATCTGCAAATCTTGCAAGTGTTGAAACAGAATCCACAAATAATGGCCGAACTCATTAAACGTCAGCAAAGACAAAACAATGCAAATGCTGGTGGTAGACAACAAAGTGCTGGGGGTGGTGCTGGGGGATCAGGCGTTGGGTCTGCGGTTAATGGTCCTCAGCAACAACAGCAGCAACAGCAACTGCAACAACAGCAGGTTATGCAACAACAGCAACAAATGCAACATATGATGAGCCAGCAACAACAAATGCCCCAACAGCAACAGGTTATGATGCAACAACAACAGCAAAATGTTGGACAACATCAGCGTATGCCAGGAATGCAAAATCCAATGATGATGCAACAACAACAGCAGGGACAAGTAAGTGCAAAGAAAAAAAGTCTACAATCTTGAGCTTTTTTATTCACAGAAGATATTTAAAAGACCTCCAAAAATATATTTTACTTGTAGCAGATTTCCTTTAGATTTCTTTACAATACTTCTTTCTTGTTTTATATTTTGTAGGCTACCAACGCACAATGGTACAAAATGCGTCAAATGCCTAATTACCCACCTCCATACCGTCAGCGAGCGCCTCAGCAAATGGGCGGCGTTGGAGGGCCAGGTCAACAATTTGGCGGTGTTGGTTCATTTGGTGGCCCAGGAGGGGGAGCTCCCACCGGTGGACCAGTCGATCAGTATGCTGCCATGCAGCAGGGATTGAAACCATCACCACAACAACAAATGGCTGGTATGCCTGGAGTACAGCAACAACAAATTATGCAAGGAGCTGGAGGTATGGTTGGTGGTCCAAATGTTATGGGTCCACCAACACCGCACACTTTACAACAGCAATTGATGCAACAATCATCGAGAGCATCACCGCCAATCCGTTCTCCACAACCCACACCCTCTCCACGATCGGCACCATCGCCACGAGCAGGGCCCTCGGCCTCGCCACGTGCTCAGCCTAGTCCTCATCACGCAATGTCACATTCACCCGCGCCTCAAACATCCCATGATGGTCTACACAATCATGGGGGTATGCATCCGCATCAGTCACCACTGCCAGGTGTGCCACAAGATGTGGTTGGTGGTGTAGGAGGAGTTGTGGGCGGTCCCGGTGGCCCTGTTTCCGATGCCTCCGATCAACTTACCAAATTTGTAGAACAACTTTAGTGTAATTAGCTAATGGCAGCGGCTCAATCCCCTTACCCGAATCCATCTCCCTCACCCCATGGCAGCCGCTTTAATATGAATCCCTCTTCCCAGCAACACCACCAACAACAGCATCGTTATTTCTAAGACTACTTACACACACACAACCAATCAAAAGGCAGACAATTCAGGTTTGCATTATCAATACTATTTTTTTACAAATTGTAACAAGAACTCTTTGGACACATGACATGCAATCATCATGTAGCTAATCTGGTAGCAGCAAATTAAAATTGCTGTTTATTATCACATCTTGTACTCATGTTATTTAGTTTTTTTTTTAATTTACTTATACAATAGGTTTTATTCACAATAATAACATTTTAAATGTTTTTTATGGTTATTATCTTTTTTTTTTTGTTTTAGAAATAGCACTTGCAAAAACGTTCTTTGTTTAATTTTTGTACATCATCTATTTAAGACAAAAACTAAATTCTTCATAATTTTATATATTTATATAGATATACATAAACGATTCCTAATGATCCCTCTATCTCTTAGTAATATTGCTAAGATTTGTTGCTTAAATCAATAAAGCACGACACACGCGCATCACACTCGTTTGTAATTGATAACAGATTAATTGAATCAATCCCGATGGAGGAAAAAGAAGAAACAAATGTAATATATTCGATTAAAATAGTTGGGGACATTGGAAGGTGTCTTTTATCCAAAATATGAACGTGTGTTCTTTTTCTAATTTTGCAGTACAATTTGCCATACAATACTTCTACACAATTTTATAGATTCCGAAAAATTTAAATTAATTTCTTTGTTTTAATTATTGGGCGTACGTTACAAAAATGTTGAAGTCAAATTATTAGGTTTTTTAAGTAAAATATTTAAATCAAATACTTCGATTTTATGCTGATGAAATGTCAAACTTGAAATATAATAGGGAATTTGAAGAAAATGTTGCATTTTACACTTTTGGATATGTGACGCATATTTTGTCCCCAAAACACAAACATTTTTCTCGATTATTTTTATTTGAGTTCCACGCCGCAATAATATAGAAGAAAACAATTCCCAATGTGTCCCCCAATATATGTCACTGCTACTCATTGAATACTACCAATAAAATTCACAAAAACAAAACTAAACTAATCAGAATGATAGCTTATAAAATATATTAAACATAAAAAGTCTTAGCTACTACATAGTCAACCAAGAACCATACACAACCACAACACCCAAGTCCCCCTTCCCAGACTTAAAATAATTAACTAAAACAAAATAATATAAAAATATGGAAACATTAATAAAAAAAGAAAACTCGTAATAATTTAAGCCCTAGCAATCTAAGGAATTTTATACTTTTCTCTATAAAAAACATATTAATTTATATTATATAAAAGAAAACAAGACGAAAAAGTTTATTTTAGCACTTTGAGCTAGACCTACATATATAATAAATATTTAATATTAATTATAAAAATAATTTTAGAAACAAAAATTATGCTAAGGATGTATATGTGTTTAAAAAATGAAATGTCTGAAAGAAACAAGATTAAAAAAGAAGAACTACCAGAAAAATCCATTACAGCTATTAAATAAGTGATTTAATTTAATAACAAATCCTCCCCCGAAATAGGCAAAAAACTGCAACAAACTAAATTACTTTGTAAAATGTTATTAAATATTTTGTAAATATTAATTATTATGGTATCCTAGTATCCTAATTTTTCCCTTTTTGTTTTTTTCTTTTTTAGCTAATGTAAGGCACTTATATAACATAATGTTAAATATATATATTTAAAAAAAAAAAAATAATACACCACCTACAACTCACTTTTCTATACATTTTCTGTGAAGAACCAACCTCTCATCAAAAAATGCAGATGAAATTTTTTTATTTCCCCTCCAATTCTAATTTGTTTACATCCAGTTTTTGACAATGTAAATAGATAAATAGTATCTAGCGTGTAAATAAATTGAAAAACTCTCATTTTCCCCTTTCGAAGAAGAGAACCAAACCTCCTTAAAAACACCCCTATCAATACTATGTAACACAATGTCAACACAATTCGATTCTGAGGTGTTATTTATTTTAATAACACAATAGAAAATTCAAAATTTCCACAGCAATACATCAGGCATGTCACTGGAATGAATTCGGTACGAAAGTGATTTTAATTTCGTATTTAGCTTCTTCAGAAATCATAAAACGCAACATTTTTCTGATTTGAAACCACTTTTGTATTTGCAAGTGAAATCTTGAGTCTTGAAAATCACTTTTTTCGTCAAAAAAAAATTATTCATCTGTGATAACCAAACGCTTTATGAATAATAAACTAAAGCAAAGGGAAAAACAAAACAAAAAGAGAACACACAAAAAAAGAATTTTGTAAAAAATTGTAATTATCTTAAAATATGTATTGTGGAATGTTGTTTAATCAACTAATATTTTCGGGGCAGGCACATTAATTCGCCACAAGAAACAATTGTCATAGATTTTATCGAAAGCCCCAAGGACCTAACGAGGGGTTATGTCAAAGGTGATCGATTGGTTGCCGCCGAAACAAGTTAGTCACAGCTTACCGAAAAACAAAATTTCTCGGGACCACCCACCAAAGATTGCAATGGGTGGAAAAAGATATAGTCAGACTTGACCACCGTATATGTTAAAAATTGTGTCACAATAAAAAAGAAAATGCAAAAACTGGTGGTCGGTCTTTTCAACAAATATGTGCTCAGTGAGTGATTTAGGAATCAATTGCAATGTTTCTTTTTAAACAGAATATTACACTTCAACAATGTTTCTACTCTTGTGTGTTTGTTTTGATTCCACATTCATTCGTTCTTTCATTCCCCTAATGTTACCATATTGAATATATATATAGTTACCATATTTACACTGAAATCGTAGTTCACCAACCGAATCGTATGAAAATCTGAAGAAGCTAAAAAAACTAACGATTTTAATTACGAAATTCAAACCATTTCGATACGATTTTGTGACATGCTTGCAAAATAACGGTAAATTGCGAGCATGCCAAAATTCTTAATTCTCAAGAAACCTTTTTATGTTTGGTATGCAATTTGCAAAACAACACCCACAAACCAGTTTAGCTATTCTCACATCTTTCAAAGATTAAGGAAAATAATGTTTATACCTCCCGATTTATTTGTTTTTTTTTTTTAACCAAAATCTTTAAAATTTGGAGATTTTAAAAATGTAAAAATGTAATTTACTCTAAATGAATAAGCGGGCTTGATCTGTGATTGGTCAAGCATACATCCATTTGTTCCAACACATTTGACAGATCAGATTAAAAAAAAACTTACATTCTCAAGGATTTAAACCCAAAAAAGATCTCGAATACCTTAGATTTCATGGTTTTGTCTAACATTGTTGTTGCATAGTACTCATGGATATATAGATCGTTTTCTAAAATCCAATGTTCAACATTTCACTACATATATTATGTGTCCCCATTCAAAAGCACTGGGAGGAAACCACAGACATACACAACAACTGCCGTTTAAAATATTTTTATTGCATATAGAAAATGTGATTTTTCAATAGGAAAATGTATTGATAGAATATACAGCACTACTATATAAAAAGAAAAGAAAACAAAAATTAACCTTACAAATTCAACAACAACAAAACAAAGAAAGCCGCCCAATCTTTGTTATAACAAAAACAAAAAGAGAAGAAAAAACAAAATTTTAATTTTTATTAGAAGATTTCAGCAGATCAGCAACAAATCAATCATATAGGAAAAAATGATAAATAAAAATGCCTTAACTTTTAAAGATTATGAGAAATGTAAATATATCAATCCAATTTTGAAATAAGTTTTAGAATGCAAACAAAAAAAAAAAAACAGAAATATGTGTTTAACTTTGTTTTCTGCCACCACCATGAAACCGCCACAACCGCCTTCAAAGTTAAATGCATATTTTTCTTTCTTTTTTTTTGTCTGAAACTCTAAACTTATAACAATTTGTAGTTTTATCTAAAAAGAAGTCATTATCCCCTTACAAATGCATTGCATTGTAAATAATAATAATAATAATATAAATAGAAACTAGGATCAATAAATTTAACAGAATGAAAGAAAGAAAATCAATGAAATATTCCAAAACTGTTGTGTGATTAAATATATTAAAAAAAAAAAATGAAAAAAAGAATAAATATTAATATTTAATTGTTATTTAAGATATATACTTTTTTTAAATATAGTATTTATCATTTGATGATCCCCCGACACCGATACATGCTAAACTCGTTAATATTTTTTAAAATCTAATTCTTTGTAAGTAATGCTTAAGTAAATTTCGAAATAATTTGAGTTGAAACATTTTTTTGTCGTTGCAAGTATTTTTTTGTTTTATGCATATTATTTGATTAGTTTTGTAGTAGCCATTTTTATAAGAAAAAAATATATATTTTTAGTTCGTTTTTTTTATTGCACTGAGTATAATTAATTTTATGTCTTAAGTAAAAAAATCTAAATGTATGAATACAAACAACAAACACATATATCTAACTAAAGTAAATGCCGTATTATGTATAAGTGTTTAATTTTTAAAGACTCTAGGGTGTATACAATTGAAAATATTTTAGTTTTTTGGGCAAAAACCGCCATTGCCTAAGAAATTGAACCAATCGACAACAATATGTCTATGTTTTTATTTTTCCATGGACTCACAAAAAACTACAACAATATATTGTAGATAAAAACGGCTTAATATTAAAACACTCAAATTTGTTGATATGATTTAAAACTTCTTTCTTTACAACCAACCAATCGAGGGAAGATAAATTTTATTCAACACTTGTAGATTGATATATCATCTCAACACAATCACCACAAGTCAACAAATGAAATCGAACATAAAATCCAAAAAATTAAAACTCCTCATTCTCTTTAAATAATCATCAAGTAAATTCATTAAACAAAAAACATGCAAAATATGTGTATAGTAAGCGTAAATATAATTGCATTATAATGATGACATGTATACATAATCGTTAAAAAGAGTAATTTCAACAACAAAACTAACCCAGAAAGAACAATTCTTAAATACTTAAACAAATAAATAAATAAAATGATACAATTATTTTTAATTTTTGTGTGTAGTTGATGAGTAAAATTCGGTAACATAACATCCTTCACGGAGTAAAAAATATATAGTTCGCGATAAAGTAAATATTAGAAAAAACTAATGTAAGCGCTATATATAAATATATAATACCCAGACCGAAGAAGTTCGAAGCAAAGCGATAGAATAGTTAATGCTTTGCATTATCTTTTAGTAAAAAAAAACATAAAAAATCAGCATTATTTGTATATTATTTAATTATATATTTAAAAATAAGAAAAGTCGTTTATAAAGTAATATTAATTAATATAAAATCATAAAAAAATTAAAAAAAACAAAAATTAAAAAGATAATAATTATATACTTGTAAAAGAAAACTTAATTTAAATAAAAAAATGCGTATGAAAATAATTTAAAAATAAAAAAATTAATAAAAAAATGTTGTTGTTTTTTTATTTGCAATACCCCTAAAATTAACTAATGTGTACACAAACATTTTCGCAAACAATGAAATTACACATTTCACAACGTCGAAAAATTAATTTCTTTTAATTTGATGTAAGATTGTGATGTCTTTAGATTCCGTTCGATTGGGTTAACTACGAAAACTACCATTATTCAGTGTAATATGACAACATTTTTTGTGCAAAAATAAAGTAAGTTGCTTTGACCCCTTATCCTCCTACCACAGTGCAGTGTGAATATTTTAATAACAAGTTTGGTTTTAAATCATATATAAATTCCTGTGCTTGCCCTTAAATGATTAAAATGTTAATTAACATTCTAAAATATAAATATATAGTGGGCCAAAATACCGCAGAGCAACATTCGGGAAGCGTGTGACGGTTTCATTGGCCGTTTGAAGGGCAAAATTCGTGCAAAAGGTGACCAATTCGAACAAATCTAAACTTTCTTTCAATAAAATTAAAATGTCAAAATTATGGCGCTTGACTTTGTTGCAGTTTTGCTGTCCATGTAGGTCCACGATATCGTATAGCCCCCATATAACGGCACCCCCCGATATTGATGATTTTAGCCACATTTTTCAATGGTATTGTCTGAAATTCTACACAAGGAGTTCTTTGTGAGTACTTTACCAACTGGAAAAAAATTGTCTATATAGGTCCACAATATCGTATATTCCCCATATATCTTTCGATATTCGGTATTTTTAAGATTTTAACAGAATTTCTTTTTCTGAATATTTCTTAATTTGTCCCAAATGTGGGAGTGTATTCCGGCCGAACTTGCTGCTTTTTTACTTGTTTTTATCTCACCCTGTATATACATCTAGGAACATGGTGATTAAAATTCTCCCCAAAAGCTTTAAATATGTGTTTAAATGTCAACAGAATTTGAAAATGTTCAAAATTATTTTAATATTTAAATTTTCAGGTGATTGCTATGCCTTATATTGTCTTCATTGTACTATGTGTGCGTTACAGAAGTTCGAAATAAATGTAAAAACGTCGCTTTTACAAAAAGTCACTCTAACCATGGTAGAATTAAGAAGGTTAAGTCATATGTTTACATTTTTTTCAAAATTATTCATTCTCATATACAAAAATCAGAGATGGGAACTTATTCTGCATACAGTGAAATTTGACCTGGTCAATTACAAAAAATGCAATGTCTATTTGAAGTGACTTTACTTCCTTTATTTTACCATGACCCTAACTTAATGAGTAAACTGAACTTTATGTTGGTAAATTATTATTGGCTAATACCAAGTTTGCGTGGTACGTGATTCCTTGTTCGACCTCTAATTGCACTGTGCAACACGAAACATAATTACAAGGAAAATTCTTTAGTTTTTGAAAATTCCATTTTCTATTTACATCGCAGACTAACCAAAATAGTGCAGGCAATTTTCCCCCTCTTCCACGCTTTCTGAAAATTTGTCATAAAATTGTACTATATCTCCTGGAAGAAGTTAAAAATTCTATGTCTAAATGACAGGAATTGATATACAATAAAAACACATTCCACTTTTGTTAGATTATCATAAACATATGATTTCTTCTATCTTCAATTTCCTTGGTGTCGATTTTCAAAAAGAAGAAGAAGATTCCTCCCTATAGCAGATTATAATTATCGGTAAACTGATTTCCTTGAGGGGGCAAATAGCAGCGCAGCTGAAGTTCGTCATAAAACGAATGTTTATGTTTTGATAGAAACCAATTTTCAAAATAATAGAATCTTTGGACTAAATATAATATAATTGGGTTATTCCGCTTGTAAATAGTCGATTCTTGGAAATGTTAGCAATCCCCTTATCAATGGGGGCATATAATGTTGCGCGCACACACCACCCATGGACTTTTGTTGACAGAAAGGATTTATATATCGGACAAATCATTAATCTTATCAAATAATAATAACAACATTTTGCAAAGATTATTATGAAAAACATTGTGATTGTCAGTGTTACCTACCACCAAGAAAGTATGGACCTTATAATTAAAGTTCAAGTGATTTGAACACTTGGTGCAAGAACATTGTGTGTGTATACTATTGGGTGATAATACACGAAAATAGATACAAAAACAATTGCAAAATTTTATTTCAACATATAACGTCATATATATAAAAAACGTTATAGAGTTAATATATAATAAACCGAATACCCACATTTCAACGTTACTAAATAAAACGGAAAGGGACAAAATCACAACCAAATAAGTTACAAAGATGACAACTTGAAACAATTCGGGTTTTGTAAAATCTCTCCACTTTTAATTAGGTTCTAGAGGAAGAGAAAAAAGAGACAAAGAAATTGCTCAATTAGCAATGTTGACATTAATCAACTTTGGAATTTCGTATGCTCGACATATTTCGTCGAATTTCAGGTAACGATGCTAGAGTTATAAATAAAGGTATATATGAAAAAATTTGAATGTTTGCCCCTCCCGGCAGAGGTCATCATGAATGATCATTGGGAGAGTAAATCACTAGCTATGTCGGTTTGTCTGTCTGTCTTTCGATCGAATTGAGCTAGAAGGCTAAAATTTTGCACACATGTGTTTTTTTTGCCAGTAGGAAGGTTAAGTTCGTAAATGGGCCATGTCGGTCCACGTTTTCGTATAGCCCTCCTGTAATGGTATTTTCCGATATTTCATATTTTAATGATTTTAGCTACATTATTCACCCGATTTGTTTCAAATTCCAAATTCGAAGTTGGTATTGGGTACTAAAACCTATGCCCAAAAAATTCGTATTCAGGTCCACGTCTTTGTATAACGGTACCTTCCAATATTCGGTATTTTAAATGATTTTAGCGACATTATTCCCTCGAATTGCATTTTGGTAAGAATTTTTCAGAAAAAAAAAAATTATTTGTGATGGAATTCAAGCGTGATATATATTTGGCTGGAAAGCCACAAGTGGCTATCGTTAGAGAATGTGTGAAATGTGAATAAATCTTTTGTGTCTCGTACCATCGCTCGTTACCTTGATACTGGTAGCGTATCCCGACGTCAAGGAAGTGGACAGAAGAAAACAGCAACATCAGCAGAAATGGTTCGAAAAATAAAAAAGCGACTTGATCGAAACCCGCGCCGCAGTGGCCGAAAAATGGCTCGTGAGCTGAGCATATCGCAATATTCCATTCGGCAAATATTGAAAAATGAGCTCGAGGTAAAGCCATTGCAATTCCAAAAAGTGCAAGAACTTTCAACGCAACCTTGAAAGAAAATAGACTCAAAAGAGCTAAAGAGTTGCTTCGCTTGGCCGAAAGTGGGGAACTGCCAAAATTTTGGTTTCTCCGATTAGAAAACATTTGTTGTCCATCTGTTTGTACAAGCGCCGGCCATAGTGATGGTGTGGGCCGCCATAACAGCCGATGGTCGCTCTCCGCTCGTATTCATCGACCGTGGCATCAGAAAAACTGCCGAATATTATCGCGAAAATATTCTGGAGGGTGTATTAAAGCCTTGGGCACGCAAACATTTTGGACATTCTAACAGGACTTAGGACCATCAGACTCTGCACGCGCAGCCCAAGAATGGTTACAAAATGAGGTTCCTCGCTTTATTTCCAGCAGACAATGGCCACCA